CTGCTGGACATGCCCAACTATCCGTTCTGCATCCAGCTGTCGCAGAAGGTCGACGGTAAGATCCTGATCACCTTCAATGCCCGCAACGAGCACGACCGCTGCAAGTTTGCCGAGGATCTCAAGGAGTCCATCAGCGAGATGGACGAAATGGAATCGCTGCGCATCGAGGCAGAGCTGGAGCGCCAGAAGTCGGCGCGCAACCGGGCCCCGGGGAACGCAGAGAACCGCGATAGTGGCGTGGCCGATGTGGAGGTGTGTCCCTGTCCCTATGGCTCCCAGCCCGGCGGCGGCTCCCAGGCAGCCGGCGAGCAGGCAGCTGGCAACTCGGCCGACTCCACGCAGCAGCTGAAGCGCAGTGCGCTCAGCAACAGTCTCCTGGACATGCACGAGCAATGTGAGTTCTCAGACTCAAGTTTTGATATGTGAGAGCGTTTGTCTTATTCCGAGTCTCCTTCCAGTTGGCAACGAGAAGCCCCAGCGACGAGGCAGCGTCGGCTCCCTGGACAGCGGCATGAGCATCTCCTTCCAGTCGACCACCACGTCCAGCGCCTCGCGGGAGAATGCGGCGGCCATTGCAGCTGCCGCCAATGCAGCGGCGGCTGCCAAGATGCGTTTCAACATGCCGCCAACGGCGGCGATTGCCACGCCCAACAATGTGTATGCAGCGCCCGGAATGCAGGCGTACACGCATGCCAACTTTGTGCAGCAGTCGCAGGCCGCCTACATGATGCAGCAGCAGCAAATGCTTCAGCAACAGGCACAAATGCAAGCCCAGGCGCAAGCCCAGGCCCAAGCGCAGGCTCAGGCGCAGGCGCTACAGCAGCAGGGAGGCGGAGGAGCAGGAGTAGGAGGAGGAGCCGTGGTCACGGGTCGAATCCCTGGAAGGGAGAGGAAGGCCTCACGCTCCGATGAGAACGCACGGTCGACGGAGGTCTAAGTCATCTACTCATCTACGTATTGTACATTTCCGTTGTTCAGCAAAGCGATAAATATTAAATCTATATAGCATATAGAGTCAAATATCTGTATAATCCGAATCGAAACGAACCGAAAGCCATTTTTTCTGCAACACCTAACAAACAAACATACACACACACCACACACACAGCTTACGAGTATATAGTGAATTTTGAATGTTCCTTCGTTCTCTGCTAATATTAATTGATGTACATAAATTAAACAATTGTCTGTTTCCCGCACTATCTACTTGCTAAATAAGTTTCTAAAACTAATTGTATATATATACATTCAGCATACACGCATACACGTACGATATACATATACATGTAGCCCCTACGATCTACGATAGCTATTCTCAATATATATATACAAACACGTACACACATATATATAGATATATATATATATATGTATATATACAAACAAATTGTATAACACTTGACTTCCTCCAAGAACTTGAAACACCAATTTACCCAAGGCAACCTCTAAGCTACATAACGCCCCCCCCCCCCCCCACACACACATTTTTATCTAATCTTCTCTACCAATTAATTACAAATGCGATCTATGAATGTACGATTACTAGTTCTATTAGCACATACTAACATCCCGCCCCGTTGAGTGCGCGGATGATAGTTTTTTTTGCCCCTGCTCCAGCCAATGCTCCACTAGCTCTACCTCACTCACCTGCAAATGCAACTAGTAGCTGCGGCACAGGAACCCACAGCAGCAGCAGCGGCGGCCGGCGTTGGGCCTGCTCCAGCTGCCCGCCCTGAGTATGCCCAATGCCAGACAAACTCGGATGCTGCAGCGACAGCACCAACCAACGACAATTATTCCCCCCCCCCATCATTCTGCCAGCTGTCCCCCGACATTATGCCCATTCTGGACAAGCTGCAGAATGAACCGAGGGTGGGCAACAGTAGCTATCACACCAAGCTCATCAGCCGCAATGGTGTCCGTATCCAGGCCCGCGACATGGCTACCAGGGATGCCATCATGGCAATCCTGGGCGATGGCGACGGCAACGAGGCGATGACTGGCCACTTACACACACCAGCACAAGAGTGACCGTGGGCTCGGATCGTCGTGCGAGATCTACACCACTCCACAAGCACCCAACTAATAAAAAATCAGATGGCCGAATTGGGTTATTATGTTATATTTATTAGAGCCATTAAAGGGAGATCCGATGGACAGCCGCTCGCCCAGGGCGAGTTGGAGAGAGCCCTCCAGCCGGCTGAAAGCTCCCACGCTGGCCTCCAATTAACCCTGCTGGGCAACCAGTTGGTGACCGTTGAGAGGCAGGCCAAGCCGGTGGACCCAGCCCAGTGCCACAGATGTCAGGCATTCGGCACACCCGCACCTACTGCAGGCGTTCATTCGTCTGTATGAAGTGTGCGGGGTGCCCCACGCGTCCCACGGCATGTGCCAAGCCAAGGCAGACGCCCCTAAATGCGCCAATTGCCAGGGCGCCCCACATCAGCGCCTACAAGGGATGTCCGGCAATCAGGCAGCAAGGGGCCGCCTTCTGTCCCACCGAGTGGCCAGTGCAGAGTTGCGTCGCAAGCGCAGCTCGCTTCTGCAGCCATTGCCAGAGCAGCAGCCACCACCAGCAAGAACAACACCAGCAACATCCAGGGCGCCAACAGCAGCAGCAACAGCAAGTTCAAACGCCAGCCAATCCCTTGGCGCGGACTGCAGCAGCAGGCAGCATGGACGCCACTCAATGTCTCCTCTCCTGGGCGACGAACACACACATACACGTATCGATGCACCGTATGCCGATGCTTCGTGTGGAGAGAGCCGGAAACAGCAAGGAACGAGAGAAGGCGCAAAGAGAGAGCGGGGTAACGACCTCGTACCAGCGACAGTACGAGGAGGGCACTCGAGCAGCCTCTACACGAAACAGCAGCCAACACAAAGATTCATGCTCGAGTGCCCGTTCGGGAGCGAGTTCGAACTCGAACCACAGCCATGGCACAAACCCCGCTCGATCGGCCACAGCAGCGGTTCCAAATGCAATGCACACAGCCAATACCACAACCACAAATACAATGATGACATACATCAGCACACAAACAGCGACATCAAACACAAAAACGACAACTACAATTACGTCGGCAGCCAGACGATGCCTGTTAACAGCAATGTTAACAGGCGGGACCCCCCCCCCCACCACCGCCGCCCAGAGGAACATCAGCAGCAGCAAACACATCAACAACAACAACAACATCAGCCAATAGCAACAACACAGCCAATACCGATGATATCCCATCCACCTCTGCTGCAGCGGCCCGTTCGCCACTGAAGCGCGTCCGCGCCGAGGTGGATGACGAATGACGATGATGACAGTGATGACTCGGATGCTGCAGCGACAGCACAACCAACGACAATTATTCCCCCCCCCCATCATTCTGCCAGCTGTCCCCGACATTATGCCCATTCTGGACAAGCTGCAGAATGACCCGAGGGTGGGCAACAGTAGCTATCACACCAAGCTCATCAGCCGCAATGGTGTCCGTATCCAGGCCCGCGACATGGCTACCAGGGATGCCATCATGGCAATCCTGGGCGATGGCGACGGCAACGAGGCGATGACTGGCCACTACACACACCAGCACAAGAGTGACCGTGGGCTACGGATCGTCGTGCGAGATCTACACCACTCCACAAGCACCCAACTAATAAAAAATCAGATGGCCGAATTGGGTTATTTATGTATATTTATTAGAGCCATTAAAGGGAGATCCGATGGACAGCCGCTCGACCAGTTCGAGTTGGAGATAGCCCCCAAGCCGGATGAAAGCCACCACGATGTCCTCCAATTAACCCAGCTGGGCAACCAGTTGGTGACCGTTGAGAGGCAGGCCAAGCCGGTGGACCCAGCCCAGTGCCACAGATGTCAGGCATTCGGGCACACCCGCACCTACTGCAGGCGTTCATTCGTCTGTATGAAGTGTGCGGGTGCCCACGCGTCCACGGCATGTGCCAAGCCAAGGGCAGACGCCCCTAAATGCGCCAATTGCCAGGGCGCCCACATCAGCGCCTACAAGGGATGTCCGGCATTCAAGGCAGCAAGGGGCCGCCTTCTGTCCCACCGAGTGGCCATGCAGGAGTTGCGTCGCAAGCGCAGCTCGCTTCTGCGGCCATTGCCAGAGCAGCAGCCACCACCAGCAAGAACAACACCAGCACATCCAGGGCGCCGACAGCAGCAGCAACAGCAAGCTCAAACGCCAGCCAATCCCTGGCGCGGACAGCAGCAGCAGGCAGCATGGACGCCACTCAATGTCTCCTCTCCTGGGCGACGAAGAGGACAACAACATCAGCAGAAGCAGAAGCAGCAACAGCCAATACATACAAAAAAACAGACGCCTGCTGCCTCTGGCCCACGCACTGGGCGACGACGTCCAGAGCAGCCATTGAGCCGTTCCCAGGCACAACAGCAGCAGCAGCTACAGCAGATGCAGCAGCACCAGCAGCAGCAGCACCAGCACCAGGGAATGCACAAGAAGAACTCGATCCGCAATGGCGGAGATGTCCTCAAGCGCGGACGGGCACAGTCAGCGTAAGTATTGCCTCTCTCAAAGGGAAAACCATGGACACGATTGGGAGCCTCTTCTTTATGGGATTACCCAAAGATATAAGTCTCGTTTGGAGGCATTGAGTGTCTTGAAAGGGAATCGGGAACAGATTAATAGAATAGATACGACCCTTTGGTGATATTTTGGCGATGTCCCTTCCGTTTTAAAGACGGAAATTCTGCTGTTAAAAATTCCAGTTTAGATCTCTGTTTGTTTTGCCTCAATCAATCAACAATCAATAGCATAGCATAGTTGTTAGCTCTGTGACAAAGCATAGATACGTATCTACGGAGGAGATTGAAAGCAGTACAGGAGGCAGGTGGCAGCTGGACTAAGAGCTCTATTAAACGCCAGATCCCCTCCTCCATTGCACACTCTGGGCATTCTGGCAATCAAAAGTCGCGCTCTCTGTCGATGCGGGAGCGACGACAGCTGGACTGCAGTCCCATACACGTAGTCAATCGGGTAAGGAATCACTCTCTCCCCTGCTTGTGGATCCTTTGCTTAATCCAACTCCTCTGTCTTTTTGCAGGCGCCTCTCCCGTTTCCATTTCGGGATCCACAGCCACCGCTGGCGGAATGGCCTCCCATCCGCATGTGAATCTGCTGCACGCGGCCGAGCCGCATTACTACAATGCCCAGGGAGCCGTCTACTACACCAGCTACCACGGCTCCCCGCACGACCTGAGCTACGCCAGCTCCGCGGACGTCTCGCTGAACGCCTCGTGGGTGAACGCCAGCGGGCACAGCCCCCACACGCCCTACTACTCGGCGGCACAGATCTACATGCGCCCCAAGGGCGGCAGCACCACGCCCACTCCCAGCTGCAGCGGCAGCACGGGCAGCGGCAGCGGCAGTGGCAGCGGCAGCTGCAAGAAGGTTCCGCCGGAGGTGCCCAAGCGCACCTCTTCGATCACGGCACAGCAGCAGAGCCAACGCTGCTGCGGACCAACGGGCTCTGCAAGACGGCGGAGAACGGCAGCTGACCTCCGTCCAGAGTTCCGGCTCAGACTCGAGCGTCACCTCGGCGGAGCGGAACATGAACAGCGACCTCGGATCGGACCGCAGCAACTCCCCCACACGTGGAAGCGTGGCACGGCCCTGAACAGCTCCCAGCAGTTCTCCACGCACTCGGCCGACTCGGTATCGGTTCGGTGCCCAGCGGAGGTGGAGGTGGAGCCGTTGTGGTCTCCGGAGCAGCCATAGCTGCTGCTGGGCCCGGAGCTTATGCCGCACAGATGCAGGCGGCCGTGGCAGCGGCCACAGCGGCGGGCGGAGTACCGCCGACGGACGATCATGCCGTCTCGTCGCACACCAGCGCCGCGCAGTACGAGCAGCACGAACAGCAGCAGCACGAGCAGCAGCAGCTGCAGGCAGCGGCCTCCGCCGCGGGCGTGGCCCAGAACTACAAGATGTCGGAGACCATACGCAAGCGGCAGTACCGCGTGGGCCTCAATCTGTTCAACAAGAAGCCGGAGAAGGGCATCACCTATCTCATCCGCAGGGGCTTCCTCGAGAACACGCCACAGGGCGTGGCTCGTTTCCTGATCACGCGCAAGGGCCTCTCCCGCCAGATGATCGGCGAGTATCTGGGCAATCTGCAGAACCAGTTCAACATGGCCGTGCTCAGCTGCTTCGCCATGGAGCTGGACCTGTCCGGCCGCCAGGTGGACGTGGCC